GAGGCAGGACCACCCACCACCTGCTACCTGCCCAGGACACAGCAGGAACTCCAACCCCAGTTTGCGTAATGCCCCCTGCCATTTTAGCTTTTCCACATTCACAGTAATAAAAGCCTGCCCCTATCTCCACACAGACTATAGTTCCAACTAACTCAGCAACAGGAAAATTCCAGTTTCCCTTTTGTACCAATAGCATTCCCCTGATACACACATGCGCGCAATGCCTAACACAACCTTCACTCTGTAGATGCACAATCCTCACCATCTCATCCAATCCCCCTCTTTCCTCAACAAAACCTTGCAAATACTCTGATGTTCATTTCTACTTTTAAGTATATGGCCAAATCCCCTCAAGTCCTCATAATCTACAGTAATCCCAAATAATTTACCCACAAGAAGAGTGCACTGATGCCCTTACAGACAGAAACATGTACTGCCTGACACGTCACAAATACAGGTCCCTATGCTTCCACAGTCTCCACTAGTATACATGTAGGCTCTTCTCCAAAAAGCACCACAGTGTCCTCAACACATAGCAACTGCCACAGGATTTCCACTTGGGATTCCAGAGCTTCAACACGCAGTATCCAGGCCTTCCATGTCACCGCGGGTATGACAGCAACTCACAGCTCCTGACATGTTCCCAGGACAAAGACCCTGCTGCTCGCTGTCCCAGCCTGCCTCACCACACCAGCAGTAGGGCTCGCCCAGCTGCAGACAGCCACACATCCTCAGGCTCTCACTACACGCACCAGGCAAACCAACTTGCATGCAGTTAGGACCACGCGTGTCTACCTGTCCACATACCAACTTGTAATACACACGAAGGTCAGACACATTGCGGCTTACCACATCAGGTACCAACGGAAACAAGTTAAGAACCCTGGTAGGAACTTCTTGTATCTGTGCCTCAGCTACCACCCGAAGTCACCCTCCCCCACAGTGTTTAGAGGACACACAACTTATCCCTTTACCTCTCACACCCTACACAGGACCGTCCACCTATTGCCGCTAGATTTATAAGCCTTCACATACCACTGTTCCTAAACACGTGTGGTTTCACCCACCATCTGCATCTCCCAAGTATAAACACAGATATAAACATGCCCCTCAGCCTACCCCACACACAGCTGCCTCCAGTCCATCAGAATGACTCCCACTCTCCGCCTAGCCATAACGTGCAGCTACGCCATACCCACAACCATACACGGCGGTCCCAAATCCCTCGACCTTCCAGCCACAAGAGGAGAATCTCCAACTTCTCTCCCTTCCCCACGACCCTCGCAGCAGCGCTGCCCCTGAAGGCGTGCCGGCAGCTCCCCCACGCAGCCCCCGCTCCCCGCGGCTCCCGGGCCTAACGCCAGCTGCCCGCTCCGACCCGAGGCCCGCACTACCGCCCCCGGGCACACACCGCCGGCGGCCCCGCCACTCGCCCGGGCGCAGCCAATGCACGTGCGCGGGTCCGGCTCGCCCACCCCTCCCGCCCTTTCCTCGCTCCGCTCCGCTCCCCACGTTACCTTCGTGGGACCGGACCTAAGAGCAGCACCCGGTCCGCGGGCCTCTGCTCGGGGTTCGCCTCCCCCGGGAGGCCGGCGCCGGCGCGGCTCCGAGCTCGGCACGGCGAGGCGGAGGCCGGGCCTGCGCGGTACCTCCCCGCTGCCCGAGGCAGGCGCGCAGCAGGCCCTGCCCGCCCGCCGGCCCCACGCGAGCAGGCCGCCCCCCCCGCCGCGCGCAGGGCCCTCCCGTTCCGCAACGCCCGCTCCTGAGCCCCTCCGCCCCCTCCCCTTCGCCGGCCCGCCGAAGCCACGATCCCGCGGAGGGCCCCGACCCCGCTACCTGTCGGCGAAGGAGCACCGGCGTCCCCCGGCGTTCGGGCGCCGGGCGGCCCGGCTCGGCCCCGGACCCGCCTTAGATCGGCTCGGGGGAGCCCGGGTAGGCCTCAGGCCTGGGCCGCCCTGCGCTGGCCGCCGCCGGCCGCGGTCGCCGCGCGCTCGCGCACTCCGAGCGCCGCCAGCAGCGCCGACATGTTGGGAGCCCCCGTCCCGAAGGCCGCCGCCGGGCCCGCCCTCCCCTCCGCCCACGTCACGGAGCCGCGGGACGGGCCCGGTACCCGGCCCGCCTCCGGCTCTGCCTATTGGCCGATGCGGCCGTCGCTCAGCCCGGCCCGCCCTCCCCGAGAGGCCATTGGCCTCCCGCCCCGCTCGCGCTACCCTGCCACGTTGCCATTGGCCGATCCGTTCGCCGCTCACCCGCCAGCCCCCGACGAGGAGCTTTCCCTGATTGGGTACCGCGCCCCTGTCTCGTTAACGACTGGCTGCCCCTCTTGTCAATCAAGGCTCCGCGCACGGAGACTGCCTTTCTCCACTCTTTTTCCCCCGGCCTCGCAGCCTGGGTAGGGCTGACGGAAGCGGCTGTCAGTGAGCGCCTCGCCCCTCCCCGCCGCCCTCCCCCCGCCGCCACCGCCTCTCCCTCCCGGCGCGTTTTGCCTGCAGGCCATTGGCTCCCAGCGCCGCCAGTCGTGCGGCCTCTCCTGCCCCGGCCGCTGCCGCTCGAAATGGGCGTGACCCGGGCGGCGGGTGCCTCCTACCGATTGGCCCTCTCTCCTGCCAATCCCACGGGGACGGTGGGCTCCCGCGGAGCTTCAGCGCGCGGGCGCCGCTCCGCGCGGCGATTGGCCACATCGCGGGCGGGGAGGGGAAAGGTGCGCGGCCCCCCGGGGGGCGGCGGGTAGTGCCCGTATGTGCGCGCGATGACATCACCGATAGCCAATCAGGAGGCGCGGGGCCGGCCTGCCGGCTGCAGCGAGGCGGAGGCTCGTGCTCGTCCGTTGGGGCCGTTGTGCTGCGCGAGGCTGGCGGCGCGGAGTTGGGGGGGGGGGAGGGGGAAGTGCTGGGGTGCTGTCATGTTTGTCACCGCAGCCGAGCGGGCTTGGGGTCACCATTAGAAGGAAAACCGGCTCCCGGGCTGGGCTGCAGCCCTGGGTGGTGCTGCTGCTGGCTGCAGCGAGACACAGGGGAGTCCTCGTAAGCCACATGTCACAGGAATGATGTCCGCCGCACACCTCGGCACCTGAGCGCTGAGTGCCGTCAGTGCAAACGGCAGCAATACGGGAGCACCGTCCCCTCACGTCGAGGTGCTTCCTCCCCACTGCTGTGAACAGACGCCTCTGTTGGACGTGGGCCCTGGGATCAGAGGTTGAAACACAGCTTACGTAGCATTTTTAGTTACCAGTCAATCTAGCCCCGAAAAGCCTGGAAGTTTCCATTTGGATGCGCTTAGTCTTCCATCTGAGCACACAGTGGGATTATTCTTCCAGAGTTCTGTTCACAGGACAGGAGATAACGTGCAGCTTTCAGCTTTTAAGGTTGTGGCCACCACCACTTGCATTAGAAAATCTCGCCCGGCACTCTGAAGGCAGTTTGAGCCAAGGCAATGGCTGCAACAGCCGTTCAGAGCTGGAGCTGAAGCTCGCCTTTCTGCAGCTCCTAGCGCACCTGCTTTGCCACGAGAAGGTGGGGAAAGGCCCCCAGTACTGCTTCCTACAGCTCTGCCGGCCACGGGGGTGGCCGAGTGAAACCTCCGACATCCCACGAGCAAGTTTGGAAACAGCCAGAACACTGAGGCCGTGGTTTGCCCTCTGCCATAGGAGACATGTTCATAGACAAGCTAATTTGAGTGCCCAGACCTGGCTGCCAATCAAGCTAGTTAGCTTTGCAGCATCCGCGAGATCTGGGACTCAAGATACTTTCACACATCCAGCTGGGAGAGGGTTTTTTGCCATTCCTCACACTTAGTTCTAGTAGTCACTTAAATACAACTTTTGTGTTATTAGAGGTATGTCAGATCTGTCGAAAAACTGCTGTATCTTTTGGTTGGTGAATCCAAAATTCACTCAGCCTAGATAATTCTTCTTGAAGAAGATAATTGAGAATGCTTCTTGAAGTAGGTTTTATTCCAAGTGGTTTACTGGAAAGTTTCGGAGAGTCCATCTCCCTTGGAGCTGCTGGTAAATCTAGCATAGATTTCAGCAGGTACAGATCTGGGCTGTAATTTTATCATGTGTCTGTTTACAGTCTCCACTTTGCTTCTTGGCTACCTGCCAGAGAGGTATGATACTATAGGCAGCATTAGATAATCCTGCCCAGTGTGACCAAAATATACCCCACTGATACTGACTCTTCCATCTAATTTAATGTAGCAGCCATTCTTCACTCAGTGGCTGCTGAAACCAAAATGTACACAAATACTGGAGAAAAGTCTTTCAGTTGTCATTCAGAGCACCTGACCCTGCCTTTCTCCTTGCTTCCAGATTCAATGCTTTTGTTCTTATTTCACCTACAATCCCAACTGCATATATTATTTTATAGCACATTTAGAAAAATATAAAATGCTTCCTTAGTATATCATCTCAATACCACTTCAACCTTGACAGAGTTGACTACCCAAAATAAAAAATACTGCCTTGTGTTGTTTTTAATGTAACAAATCATATCCCCTGCTTCTTCTCAAGCATGACCTGCTTATCTGTTAGAGATTAACTAAAAATCTACACCATGCACACGAGTCCTTAACCCAGTATAAACAGCACATTCCTAATCTCTAGAAAAAAAGTGCATATCAGGCTGGATCCTGTGAGCTAAAACAAAGCACTGTCATTGCTCAAGAGGTGTGTGTGTAGCAAGAGGCAAGGATCACAGCAGCAGGCAGCAAGGGCAGTGGAGTGAAGTAATAAGTAGGTGAAATAATGGCTGTACATGGCAATGCAGAGTTAATAGCTAATCTAGGGATTTTGTGGCTGGCCTCAGTTAATCTTCGTGAAAGACTACTAAAGCACAGTATTTCTTTGTGAGGATGTATGTGTACTGGATCAACAGTAGACCATGTGTGTCCCAAATTTGTGTGCTTTCATATATATGCACTATTTATCTGATTCTGAGCACTGATAAAGTAACTGAACTTCAGAAATGATAACTTATACATGGAAAGTACACAGATCACTCTGAAAGTAATGCCTTTTATTTATTTCCATCGAAACTACAATTGAAACAAAGAGCACAATAACACTGTTTGATTCTCAGCTACAAAACACTTTTTTTCAGCACAGTCACCACTATGAGCTATGCTTTTTCACCAGCAATGAACAAGAGCCTGTATGACATGCTTGTAAAAATCTGCACCAGTGGAGGTGATCTGCTGTCTCTGTCACCACTGCTGAAATACACCACGCACTGCCTCACTGAATGGTGCCATTTATTCCATGTGGAGGAATTCAGTGACACCCCTTTGCTTCATACACACTTCCATGTCAGACCTCGTGTCACACTGCAACAAAATGTAACAGAATTGTGACGAGGGGAAGTCCAACCCCTACTGCCATACCACCATCTGCCTCTGACATCATGGGCCAGCATAACAAAATAGGAAGCATTACTTTCAGAGCAGCCCTCAAAGTACATATGTACATATACATGTAGTTTGTACAGGATGAAGATAAACTGCTAACAACTTCCATTTGGTATTGCACTTAAGAGGAATGAAAGTTAGTTCTTACCAGATAGAATTTTAAAAATTCCTGATTCTTTGTATTTTACTTTTCTTGGCAAAACAGATCTGTCCCTTCAGGAGTAGCTGTTGATGAATCACAAGAATAAAATTTGTTTCATGGTTAAATGAATGACAAAACAACTGTAACTTGAGCTGACACCATTTTTACATTATCTCAATTTCACTTCTCTTTTTGAGCTTTAAAACTTTCATCCAGTGCAGTAACAGGCCTTCACACTGGAGCAGCTCTTTCACAAGACATTTTTATCTATGAACCACAGATAATAAGGTTGACTTCATGTTAAGAAATGAGTAAAGAAAGTTTGGAAAGGTTCATATAACGTTTTGCCTGGGTTTTGCTCATCAAGAGAAAAATGGGTAGCAAAGAAAAAGGCACAGATACTGACAAAACTCAGTAATAGTATTATTACCTGTTAGTAGTTTGGGGAATGTATGCCACTCATAGCTAGGTTCAGACATTCTTGTTTCTGGTAGTCAATGAATTCCTCTTCCCAACTGTCACCAAGCCTTTAAGAAGCAAAGCTTTTTTTGATGATTCAAAAATCTTCAGAGGTCTGGCTGTGGGTAACAGCCCTGGAGTAGGTAATGGTAAGTTGTGTCAAGAAAGGTAAAGGTGAATAAGTAGAACATTGTCAATTTCTGAAGGACTGGCTGGATAAATGAAGGAACCCGGCAATAAAGTCAGCTTGGGCAATTACATCAGCAATCTGAAAGAAACCTTGAGTATCTCTAACTTAAATCCACTGTGATTCTGATCATACACAAGGCAAAGGGGTTACAGGAAAAGACTTCAAGGCAAAACTGGAAGAGAAATGGCTGCAAGAGAGGTCCAGGTTATAGGCAGAGAGCATAAAACAAAACAGAAAAGTCAATGTCAGTAGCTGTGAGAGACGATGGGAGAATTTATCTGAGAAATTAAGTGAACTTAGAGTTTCCACATGATACCTAGAAAATCAGCAAGATGTTATCCAGCTATAACATAGTATTGTAAGAAAGAAGTGATGCTGCTCTTCAGTGAGTCAAAAGTGGGGATTAGGGGTAGTCTGTATCTAATTCTAAAACTAAATACATATTTTGTCTCAATTTTCAGTAAAGATGATGATGTTGAAATGGAGTGAGATGGCAAGATGACTAATAGTTAAGAGGGAAAGGAAATTGCCAGTATCACATATAAAAGGAAAATAAAGCACAGACTACAGCATATAGGTAGAAAAACGTTAGATAATGCCCATTCCAGACATCAAAAAATAAAGGAAATTATTTGTCTCACAGTAAGCTTTCTGAATGTAGCAGGAAATGATAAAGAGTAATGTTGGTTTACAAAGGTGGACATTAACAGATTACCCTAATATCTTTCTTATAATATCATTCACCATCTAGGTGAAGAAGCAGATAACGGGGATTAGCAGAGTAATTAGGTGATGGACTATCCATAAATGATCAGAGGTAAACTATCTGAGTAAAGAAGGTCTTTGTTTTATAAAAGATCAGTTGGAGGTTAAACCTAGACATTTTCATTTATGACACCAGCAGAAGAAGGTGGTGGGAAATAGAACTGTAAACAGCCCAGTGCTAGGAGGCACAAACAGTAAAGAGAGCTGGGAAACCATACACAGTTAAATTGATGGAGAAATTGGAATACGGATAAATTGAGGAGTTTAAAAGCAAGATGGTTGGGGACTAGTATCAGACATTTCCTCTAGCAACTAGGAGCTTAATGCTTCAAGAAGATCATGAAGAAGGACAGAATATTGTTGTTTATTAGAGCATAATATGAAATGCTATTCAGTTTCAGCATTAGAATGACAAATGCAATCTTAAACATGGCTGGCGACAGGTTAGATGCCTTCACACGGGCACTTAATTAGCAGTGTGCAAGTGCTTATTTGGAGCTCCGCGCAGGCAGTCATGAGCTGGCTCCGAGATGCAACAAACTGAAATGGTTGATGTGCCTCGCTTATTTTTGTTGCCTTCCTTTGAGCTTTGTTCACATTCTTAAATTGGGTAGGGACATACAGCCACAAGCTGTCAAGCCAGTTTATAATTAAGCCATGGCTTAGCATGGCTTAATAGGTTACTGCTCCACAGACAAGATGTAATAATTGCCTGTGTACATGTTCTCAGCTTGTCCAGCAGCTGAAGTAACGTGTTAGTTTAAGTTAGTATATTCTGCTAGAGTGTCCTACCTGAAAAGCAGTAGTTTGGGTTGGTAACTCAATCACTTGTGAGTGCATGTTTGCGTGTTCCCCCTGCACCACAGGGAGCTCACAGCTCAGAGCAGAACTGCAGGTGACACAAAAGGTACATTGGAAGTGTTATTTTTGCTCTGAGATGAGTCATTTTGCCATCTAAATTCTTGCCAAATTTTTTACCACAACATTAGAGTATCAGTTTTTGCTTAGCCTATTCTCACCTGTCATCCTTAATGTGCCTCAACCATTATTACTGCTCTGTTTGGTTCTTCACTGAATATCTGAACTTTTATTTTTTCTATCTTTGAATGATGCATTTTAAGAGAGCTTTAAGAGAGGATAGAGAGTTTAAAAGCTTAAGCATAATCAACCGTAAAGTACTTCTGTTCTTATCTTTTAAGCTAAAGTTATTGAAGAAGCTTGTTTTTTGGCTCCACGAAATACAACGCTTCTCAGTTTTCTAATGCTGTATGGATGCCATCTTTTACAGTAGAGAACATTCTCATGAAAATTCAAAGCCTGAATGTGATTTTCAAAAAGAATGTTCAAAATTTCAAGACATTATAATCATAATGTGCAGCTTTTAACTTAGCTATACTACTGTCTATGCAATCCCATTGATAACTTTTCCTACCCAGCAACATTTCTGTCATAAAAGCATCTCTTAAAGAAACCAAATAATAATGTGTTAACTACTTCCCGTTTAATCTTTATGATCTTTTCCTCATTTATATGGAATCCAGGTTTTAACTAATTCCCTAAGTAAGAAAGAAAGTCAAGAAATGAAACAAACCAAGAAAAGTAAACCCTGAAAAACAGAAAGAGAAAAAAACCTCTGTTTTTCTCACATCTTCTCTCATCTGAGTAATGGTCCCTGGTATCCAGCCCTCGTGCTGCACAATCCCAGAAGTGGCCCAGCAGACCAGGGCTGCAGGCATGACTGGCTGTGGGCTCACTAATATGGTAGCACTCATTGTGACTCAGTCACCAGCAGCAGCCCATCAACAGGCTGCTCGCCGCATCGCTGATGGGCAAATCTAAGAAGCAGGATGGGGAAGAAGGGTCATGCTGACTCCTAAAGGAGCTCCCCCCCAAAAAGAGTTAATTCTTCCTCTTCCAGATTTTCATAAGATGCTTTGATGGGTGATATCCCTGACCATCAGAGCGGCTCATGTCAGAAGCTTTGTTTCAATATGGCCACTTCAATTGAGCTCAGACAAGAGAGTTTAGCCTTCTCTGTGATAAGTACAAGTAAGCCCTCAGCATTTTCTTGCAGTACCCACAGGTCAAAAATGAAGGTTTTTAATATTAAGATATCTATAATGATTCTTCACAGAGAAAAGCAAAGCAGAATGTAAGCCAGGCTCCATGTTGTTGTTTATTCAGTAAACATAAATATGCTGTATTTAGTTTTGAAACTGTGGTTAACTATTTCTTTGTCTAGGCATTAAATTTGTCCTAAAAAGGAGGATGTGTGTATTTTTTCTATTAGCAAATATACATTAAGATTATTCATGTTAAGAATATTAATTTGTATAAGGTATCCTTCTGGCTTCTAGAAATAATGCTAGTGTCTGGACTAGGAAAAAAAAAATTAACACTCGGATACATTCTCACCATGGTGACCTACAAGAGAACTGTCACAACAGAAGCTGCTGTTGCCACTACAATTTCCAGAACTCCTGCTGTTTGTGTTGTTGCTGAAGAGAAAATCCACTGCCCTTTGCTGCACTTAAAGCTCAGTAAGATCAGATTGCAGCTTAAAGATAATGTTCACTCTTCACTGTACATCAGTATCGAAGAGAAAAATAAGATGATCAAAATATGCCAATCATAATAATAGCATCAACGTTAAGTATGCTGCACACTTCCTTTGAGGTAGCGAGTGCTCTGACTCCCTCCTGTTTCAGCAAAGGGAAATTAGAGTTGTGATGAGAGCCTTTGGGTTCAGCTCTGTTCAAACCAGAGTGCCACTAATGACAGTAACAATAAACTCCCTACAAGAAGTAGAGGATTGATTCCCCTCAAAGGCAAAAAGAAAATCTAGCAGTGTTTTTGGAACACAGAAATAAATTAGTGTTTCCAGTTATCAAAGAGAAAATGCAAAATAAGAATAGGCATGTCTCTGCACAATTACTGTTCTGAACTCTGTTCCCACATTCTACCAAAGGACTGCCAATTAAAGCAAGCATGTTGTAAAGGTGTCTTACTGCCAATAGAACAAGGGAATCAGTGAAAAGCATAAAACATACCTTTTAAAACTGTCTACCTATTACCCAACCAAGTAAGTTTATTTTAAATGCCTAATTCTGAAGACAATTTAAGCTAGTTACAAAAGGAAATGGGATTTAAAACGTGTACATTCAACTTCAGAGAAATGGAGCACAGTTTCATGAATTTTACACTCTTCTGTACAGATATGGAAAAAAGCCATCTTGCTGATGATAGGACTTGACACATTAAAAGCAGTACTTCTGCAAATGAAAGGGCCCCCAAAAGATCTCTGGTTGGCCTAGTCAGTACCAAGAAGCTCTGGAATAAATAACACAGAATATCTATAATTAAACACAGCTAAGGGAATTAGAGTTGGAAGTTGCTATGATAGCATAAAGCCTCTGAAATGATAAAGTGATAAAATGAGAGAAATGAAAATTATTTGCAAAAATGCTCCAAACCCTGAACAGATCATCAGCAGTAGCGACATCTTAGGTGTGAACTCTATGATTTCATTCCTTTTCCACAATCTGTAAAGTTAGGATCTGATGAGCTGTGTTGATATTTTTGTTCTATGAAACGTACAATGTCTAAAAAAGTTTTATAATAGAATTTATGCCTACTGGGAAATGGAGACTCAAATCAAATTATAATTCAACAGAAGCAGGAAGGTAAATCTAAGTTTGGAAATCAGTGTGTCAAAGGATTATTGCATATCAGAGATGATTTGTTTATGGACAAACTTAAATGGATTTCATTTGCATTCATAAAAATAGCTCAGGTTGATCAAAACTACCTTATGATCCATTTAAATTCTCTCTAAATCGAAGGAAGAAGAGTGAATGTTCAATGAAATGTTCTGAAGTTTATCCTTTCTCGCAATGAGGCAAGTCTTTGGGTGGAGGCAGGCAAAAACCCAAAAGAGAAGTACGCTCTAAAGTGCAGCTGTACTGTCTCCTTGGCTCCTCAGAGAAATCCTAAGTGATTGCCAGAACAAGGAACATGTTCAAATTGGATTTTCTTGCTTCTATGCTTTTTGTTTGTTCATTTGTTAAGTTTATTTCCATTTTGTAGTAACCCTTGTTTTGCGAGTACAATCTTTTCTTTCTTTCCTTAAACTTGCTTGGTAGTAATGATTACAAGTAACAGTGGCAAACACAAGACACA